AATTCTTCTGCGTAATCTCCTGCTGATTGCATTGGCTACTGGAGAAATTTCAGGAAGTATTGACCTGCACACCAGCAGAATAACTGTAGCCCAACACATGTCTTAAGGAACATGAACATGCTGACAGCTCAAAGACAGAACTGTTCAGAATGGACAGAACACAACTGATGTGGTGGCAGAAAAGTGGTTAATTGTGTTAATCACCAAAGGATGTCATTCTGCGCTGACAGTACTGACGGAACAAAATGTACACAGATGTTGTGGTCTGCTAACTGTTGCATTGCATGTCAACCAGTGGAGGCAATGGAAGTGTGATGACATGGGGAGGAATCTCATTCAACACAAGAACTCCTTCAGTGCATATCCAAGCGATCTGACAAAGTCTTGGAGCCAACAGTTTTTGTGTTTCTGCAAGCCAATCCTGATGTGTTGCTTTTTTGAGCGGGACAATGCAAAGCACTACAGCTTCTGCTTCACATAATGAAGTCAGAGAATCCCTCCCTTGGGCAGTTCAGCAATAATACCTGTAGATCTCATATTAAAGACAGAATGTCTTATGAATGGCAGTGCTAACAAGATGGTCCTAGGTCATTAGGAAAAATGCTGCACACTACTGTTGGATCCTAAAGGTAGACCACTGACCACATTGACATATGGTCATACATTTAATGAAATATGCAGAATGCAGAAATCAAGGTCTGCTTCTGTGGAAACAAAGGGATTGAGAAAAACAGATTGTCAAGACCTCAACCCCATGTTTTTGCATGTGATTATTAATTACTTGAACCCTTGGAAAATGCCAGTTAATAATTATAGGTGATTGGCCATACTCAGTGGAAAGTCTCAATTACGGGCACATATTAGGTGTTTGCCGAGTACACATCTCAAGATAAATACCCCCCTTCTCTCAAAGATGTGTATGGAGGAAGGGGCAGGATTTTCCCTAGAAAGATGTTAAAGAAGAAAATAAATAAGGCAAAACAGATGGTTAGTTGTATATATTTAAAAAGCACTACAAAATTGTAAGGTGTCTCCACTCTCTGTCAGTACGTATTCTTCTGAAGCAGTTAGACCCCAGTCCCTGAAATTAACTTTGCAAACATACCAATAATGGAACGCAACACACAGTGTGAAATGTCATATGTTAATGGTCCTGAATTTTTAATAGTATTTCCATTAGGTTATCACATGATAATCATTATATTTTTTTCCAACTGCCTAATCCCAGCTGTGAATAATTTCACCCCTATAAAAATGTCAGACAATCACAGTATGATGCCACAAACACAGTGAAAGCAATTTAACCACTTTTCCATCCTCTGTTTACCTATTAATATCACTTCGCCATTCTTAAGGGAAAAGAGAGCTTTGGTAAGCTGAAACTAAAATTAAAGATACATGTAAAATAAGAGGAGATGAGATTAATGCTTAATGCATTGATTGGAACCGTTCAAAAGCATGTCAAGAAAACAGTTATTTAAAGTGTCACTATCTTTAATCACACTTTGTTTCTCCCCTCCTGCTTTGGTTTTTCAATGGCTTCCCAAAAGACTTTTCGATTTTCCTATTAAACTAACTAAACGTGCTGCTCTTAGTGACTAGACAGACTACAGACTACAGACTAGTATCATAATGGAAAATTAGTTTTTAACATTTAGTTTTTAGATATCTCTACTTACAGCTTACAGCAAAACAAGTAATATCCTGGTCATTGGAGACTGGCCACTGGTCACCACAGCGTGCATAATCAATGCAGGCAGCCTTGTCCCATCATATTCCATACAGACCACTAGCAAAACCACAAACTCACATGTTAGAATCAAGGGCTTTTCTTTACAGACACAGCTAACGCAATGACAGAACCATTAACGTCATGCTGGTTATAGTGCATATTCAGTAAGGGAACTACTGTTGTTCATATTTTTACTTGGCATCGACACAGGAGTCTGTTGCTAAGTTTATTATGAGAAGAGTTGTGCCAAATACAAGCACACCTATTCTCAGTCTGCACAGTGCACAGCTGAGAGCCATCCAGCAGGATCTGGGAACACATGAGTATGCTGTACTGCACTTCTGATTTTCTAAACCTCAAACAATCGCCCCCCCACCCAACTTGCGCACAGTCTGCCGAGACCCTGAATTCCTCAGTACTTTCTCAGATCAAGACTGGTCAGCTGTTTGACCTGAAGGCATGTCCCTTTTGTGCAGAGCCCAAGGCACTCATCATATGGAAGAGGTGACTCACAGGCCATGTGAGCAAAGACCATCAAAGCATCACTTCCCAGCTATGAGAATATGTCAATGTCACTCAATCAATATGTCCACTGTTTTGCTTCTAGATATCCTGTACCACTCTCACATCAAATACAATCAAAGCATAAACAAGATTTTTATGGAAAGCCACAAACCTAGTGACCAGATCCTATTGCCATGAAACATAGCTGCAGCTACATTACCTCACTAGTAAGCAAAAGCATTAAAAAATTGCACTGTCCCTGTGTCTGAAATGCTGGATGAAGGGTACCTCTATACCAAGGCCTTGACCACAGGTGATCTCAGGATGCCCGAGGATGCTGACAGAATTCAATCCCAGCCGAATAAGGTCCCTTTTCTCTACAGAAAAAAACCCAAATCCTATTCCAAAACATAATTCAATGAAGTTTGTTTTCTACACCCATCAGGATTCAGCTTTCTAAAGTTACAGCCTCTTTAAAAAATAAACTCCAGCTGACACTGCAAGACACGTGAGCAGTTGGTAAATCATTAGTGCACATCAGAAATCAGTGCCTTACATGCAACGCAACACAAAATTTGATATTTAATCACACCACCGTAAGATAGTGACAGGAAATTTGCTACATTGCTGACATGTTGCAGGTATTCTTGGAGAAAAGAATATTACATAGAGGAAGAGGCCTACACCAAAAGACTGCGTGCTGTTAGCAATGACAGTGATTTAGCCATGGGGCTGATAAATGCTGGCCTCTTTTGTCAAAAGCACCCAACCTTGCTGCAGTCTTGAGTTAAAACCTTGACTGTAAGGCACGCAACACCGGCGGTATTGAGTCGTTTGACAAACTCAACCTTCAGCTACCCTTTAGATTGATGGCTGTAGAGCACGGCCTGTATTCCTCTCCTCCTCTCCGCCCCACTCTGCCAGGCACTGGGAAGGAGCGGAGAGCAGATGAAAGGACACAGAGGCGACGCTTGTTAAAAGGCTGATATACAGCATCGGCAGGGATCAAGTCTTCTGAGGTCTGTAATGAGGGCTCTGAGTGCCAGCTTTACTGCCCATTAGTACCGTCATCATGCTACGCTGCTCGAAAGCATCATAAAATAAAAACAGTTTCCACCAGGGTCCTCTTTTGATTTAACTATGAAATGAAGAGAAAATGTCTTTGCCAAGTAGCACAGTTATTTGGTGAAGCGCCTCTAACAAGTGAAATATTTCAGTGAAATATTTCAGGGCCATCACCTCAAATACCACAGCTAAAAAATTAAAGGCAAGTGTCTGAGTCATTATCTGATCCCTTGATTATGATATATCTTGTTGGGAAAAATTACAGCTTCCTCAATCAGTGAGAGTGCCTGATTGTTAGCAGAAAGACAAAAAAACTCTAAGTCAAGTGTACAGTAATCAGCCTCGATAGCATTCCTGATTACTGCGCAGAACTTGTTCCATTTTTTTCCTTCTCCATCTCTTACAAAAAACCCGCTGGAAACATAGATTTTCTCACATAGACAATGGCCTTCCCGTCACTAAAAGAATCAGGTTTTTAGATTGGGTTATCTAAACAGAAAATTCTGCGTTCAACGGAATAGGGATGGCTGTAGAGTCAAATCAGGATGCTCACCTACAGACTCCAGACAAGAAATTCTGCCTTTATGATCTGCAGTTATTATCACAACACAATAAATATCATTTCCACAAGACACCCCGTTTTGCATTTTACTCTTGTCTGTAGTTCAGACACTACTCGCAGTGCAAAATTTGGAGGGCTACATTAAACATTTATGTGCTAATCAGAAGAAGCCACGTGGTCCCTAACGATTAAATCCCCAGATTCAGATTAGCAGTCTGGGTTGTAATACATCCTTAAACACGGATCTGCTGACGTGAGAGCAAGGATCAAGTCTGATTGTTTCTGTTTCGTCGCACTCGGCCTACCCCTAGTGCAAAGACCAGTGCCTCTCCAACACTGCACTGGAATTCCTTATCAACATATTTATATCCGAAACAGACTCTAAAAAAAACCATCTGTGTTCAAGAGAAAACAAAATGAGACAGCAGGAAAAACAAAACAAATTTGTACTGTAGAAAGATACAGGTGCACAAAATGTGCTTTGGGGATTATTTTTATCATTAGTTCCTTTCAAAGAGCCAAATAATAGAACAACCTACAATACACATTCATTCAGTAGGTTCATATTTTCCTCTACTTTATTTTTTTAGAACCTGCCTTTAGATTTAAGTGGTAAATAAAATGCCAAAGGTCCAGAAGTCACTACTTATGTCACACAAAAATAAAAGTTTAAGGATTCGGGTAAAGGAGTTGATCCCCGAGATCCAAAACAGAAACACAACCACAAACAACGTTTGCCAGTTAAAAATAAATCATGGCATTATTCCAGTAGCTAAACAACACAACAATGGGGAGCAAGTCTCCCAGCACAACAATACCCTACTGGGTATTACGGCGAATAATTTATTGACTTTTCAAAGTTTTAAAATGAATCAAGCATATCAGGGAAGGCCCAAAGCCTGAAAAAAGCTTCTGTTTTAACATCATTCTTCTTATACCTTCCTAAAATTCTTTTCTTATTTTGTACTGTTCATTAAGGCACAGAATTGAAATTGAGCATGAAGAAGCTTCAGAAGTACAGCACAACAGCTCTGGATCAGAACTTGAAGATGCGTTTTTAAAGTGTAAACCCCATCCAGCACATCCTCTCTCACATGTGCAGTGCCACAGAGCATTCTGGGAGAGAAATGTCCTTACCGTCCTCCTCTTTGTGGGCGTTCTGGGGGCTGTGCATTCTCTCTCCTCGGCAGGGGCTTAGGTCGGATGTGGTACCGTGATCAGCTGATATCCATGTAGGGTCGGTCATATCAAAATCCTCACTGCTCACTGAACTTTCATCCTAGCCAGATGAAAAAAACAAGGTCATGTCAATCTTTCAGTGGTGAAAGGGCTGCTTCTGAAATGGGTGAGGAAAATATACAGTGCCAAAATCACCTTGCATTACGAATACAATGTGAACAGATTTTGTGCAGGGCTGCTTTGCTTTGCTATTCTTCATTGATAAATCAAGTCATCACAGCATGAAGGGTCCACAGTAAAGTCTTCACAATATAAAAGGGTCATCACACTCTTTACAAACATTTTAAAGCCTGCTTATAACTAACTTTTCCCTTTAAAAGTATTAGCCCTGTATCTTGTCAGAGATAACTTCTAAAAAGGCCATGATTGTATTGTAATGACGTAACCAGGAGTTGTTATCCTAGAGGCCCTCAAAAAAGTGTCCTGCAGATCTCTAGAAACAAAAAACAACAATTCACCTCCAGATCTAACATCAGAACTCCCACGCAGTTCTGACAGTGCTTAAAATATATGCTTTCAAATTGAACTTCATTAAATTAAATAAAATTCCATTTTTAATATTTTATGTAAAAAAACATGTTTTTGAAAGGAGTTGCCCAAGCCAGAAAAGAACCACTGCTATAAGGTAATATCAAATGCTTTATACAGCAGCTACAGCATATGAAGGGATATACTGTATGATCTAAACCCAAGCAGAGATTCACTTAGCAGGGAAAGGCCTCCCTGTGGTCTCCTCCTAAGCTGTTACATCCACCAAGCAATATCCCACAGCTTAAACTCTTTTACAGCAGCTGGTCAGCACAGCCAGGGCAAAAATTGGACTGAAAAACTCATCTCTCAACCTCTGAGTAACAATCCCCAGGAAATCTGGAGCAAAATTCTATTCCGGCTTTTAATGAAACCATGGAGGAATCAGGGAAATACAGGCAGTGTTTTTCTCCTTCTCTAATACTGTCCCCAGCCCTTCCTTTATCAGAACGTTTCTTTAGCTCAGCGCTTTTTCGCTCGGAGGGACCCCTCCACGTGCCAGCTGCCCCCAGCAAGGAGACGCCTCCACGCGGCTGTACCCTTCGTGGCAATTTCCAAACATCTGTCTGAGTACGACAGAATAATCACTTCTTTCCCCCTGGGCAATTTCTTTAGGTAAATAAAGTGATAAAACCAGAGAAGCATACAAAATACCAGAAAAGGGACAGAACACAAAATAAATAAGCATGCTGGTAACGAACTACATGACATCCTGTGTGTATATATGTATGTGTGTGTGTATATTCATATTTTCCTGTTTTTAATAAAATATGAGTCATATTTTTTCACCTTTTGTTTTCTTGCAGTTTTATTCAATTAATAGTATTTGTCCCTTCGACTTAAACCTCTGATGAAGACAGTGAGTTTATTGGAAAACCCAGGCTTTGCTATAGCTGTCTGTATCTGGGATCAACATTATAAGGAACACCGAAAGAAAAAGGATTCAGACACTTTAACGTACTATGTGTATTTTTTTTTACCAAAAACCCAACACAACCATTTGATCTAGCAACAGGTAATCGTTGCCATCCTGCAGACTTTGGTGAAGGAATTGCTATAAAACATTCCTGACTTCGGCAACAGACACCATTTTCCTGCAAAGACTTTCAAATAATCTGTGCATGATTTTGATGTTTCCATTTATATGCCTGCCTTTATTTTAACTCTTCTGCTGCCTCAGATCCTATAAGTAAGACATTTTCTTGCTTCTTTGGAGGAGATTACAGGAATAAGCAAAGTTTTACTGTTTTTTTTAGCATGGACTGTAGCAAGAATAGCACCCCAGCTAGCTCTGCTGGTAGAGCATGAGACTCATACTCTCAGGGTAGTGGGTTCGTGTCCTATGTTGGGCGCCAGGTCCTCCATGTTGGAGGTTGGGCACAAGGCTAACAACCCTGTCCTGTAAAACACTAATGTTACGGTAACAGCAACAAGATGTTTCTGCCCCTACACGCCACAAGGCATTACAGGCAAACATCCACGTAGCAAGAATGCTCACTATTTTCTAAAATGCATATGTGTTCTACTATATTAATATGACATGCATCAGATGTTTGAATTTGTTTTATTTTAGTGATTCAAATGCCACCTTATAGACTTCCAATAAACTTCAGTAAAGTTTCTAACATAGAACAACTTCTACAGGTTTAACAAAAACAAGTGATCAACCACTGGTTTTAGTAATGGCTTAGCACAGAGACAGAGTTAAAGAGTCTCAACTTTCACGTGATTCCATTCCACAAAAAGGTACATTCAGCCTTAAAACTAAAAGAAATGAATAACCCTTCTAGATCCATGTTTGGGCCTAAGTGTTACGGTTGAAGGAAATGTCAATCGGGAGCACAGACAATTTCGGATCTTGGCGTCGTCTCTGTACGTGCTCTGGGCTTTAGGAAAACCCAGCACCCCCTGGAAAAAGACAGCAGTTCTTCAGCACCCCCATGATTAAGTGTAGATTTCAACTAAGGTATTGCATAAGCACATGCAATTCAATCCGTGTTTTAGACTTGAAGTCGGCATGGGTATTCCAGCATCCCAGTGCTCCCAATCATATACTGAAACCAGCAGCAAAGACACAAATATAATATACAGTGGAAACACAACCTAGCTAAAACTAAACAACAGAGCCATCACCTATAACATGACAGGTATCCCATTAAATACCCTAGCCACCCCATTGCCCATTAATACATGCTCAAAGACTTGGAGCATCAGACTAAACCAAGAGGGAGAGAGAGACAGCATTGTGGGGCCCCCTGCCTGAGCTGTGTTGCTGGCCAAACAAAATAAAAGCCACATATATGCAGTAATAATTTAATCAGGTGCAGCTGATTTATGACTTCAGTGGAATTAAAAGCTACTTAGGGACCACATGCTAGACAGTGAGAAACCTCCAGCCCCATACCTTGCTAAGTGGCGTCTTACCAATAGGATGTCGGGTAATGGCACAGGGGGGCCGGCGTGGCAGCAGCTCACAGTCCATCAGGCTCACGAGCTGTCAGTCACCCGAGGCCCAGTGCTGGCAGCCCAGCATGCCATCGACTTGGTTAACATGTTTAACTTGCAAATTGGCCACTGCATTATTAATGTGGCCTGGTGCATTCTGAGAGACAGCTCCCGGTATGCTGGAACAAAGCCTTGAAAAGTGACTGGAAGAAGCCCCATTGCATATCTGGGAGTCGAACCAGAAGAAAAATGCACTTAAGCTGCACCAGCATTATTATGCATAAAATACTTGAGAGTGAAATGAAATTTGACTAGAGTGGAATCAAAATAAGCTTTGTATACAGCCAATATTGGACTGAGATTAACAGAGACCTTGATATCACAGGCGCTGAGGGAGACTGGAGCTGGATTTGAGAATGTGAGACTTGCTCGAATAGGAACAACAGCAATCACAATGAGTTTTTACCTACAGATAAGTGCACACAAACCTACCAGTGAAACATACAAAAGGATCATAGAGCGCCTGCCCCAGAGATGTACTGCAGCCAGGGCACAGGTGCACCGGTTCAGGTTTCATAACTAAAGCTGCCTAGCTGAGTAGTAATATGCCATGTTAATGAGTACTGTTGCCCTTGAGTAACTCTCCTTTTCCTGCAAGGTCTGGAACAATAGCCATTAGGTACATAAAGCATAGCTGGAGCACAGACAGCTGGCACCACCATAACACAATGAACCCTGTTACTATGGTTCTGGTCAATTGATCCCGGAAAATGGCTGTTCCAAATCAGACTGACGGAGTTTATTGCATTCAGGCCTTGCAGCTGCCCAGGACTCTGCAGAACACAGTCCAAAGCTCAATCTGCTGATCTTCTCCCTCAGAGGGTCTGGCCAGCAGCTCTAGTAAGGCTGGTTTCCACACAGCAATCTGCAAGAACCTGGACGTGTCAACCTCTACCCACTTGGCATATGATCTAATACCCACAAACAAATGCATTTCTTTCTTGTCCGTGTCCTTTCCAGGCTCGAGACAAGAGCTCTCCCTTTTTATTTGTGGTCAGATTGTCTCAATGCCACCTGCTGAAGGCGGAGAGGGGACTGGCATACTGGAATGGAAGTCCAGGTGTGTCTAAACATCAACTATGTTGCAGAACCCTGAACAGAAAAGGCAGACGTACTTAGCAACAGGAATGTGGAGAGAAGAGAAACTGACCAGCAGCGCTCAAAGAGGTGATCAGTAGGACCATCAGCAAGACTCAGAGGCACAATGCATTCAGGGCCTGTCCCTCATAAACAGATCTGCAGCACAGTTAAACCATGACAGCACTGGCCTGGGTCAGCTGTGGACTTCAGAGAGACAGACCAAATCCTAACATTTTTATCTACCCTCTATTCTCATAGTGTGAACGCCATAAACACTACAAAAATGAAGAAAACGTTTCAAGAGCAAAACATACATTTCAGACATACAACAATAGAGAGGCAGCTTTTTAATTCTGTGTTTGATTCTCTACACAACATAGCCCTTTAACCCCAGTTACTGGTATAATTCATTCATAGCGACATTAGGACATGATCTGGGGGAATTCACAGACCCTTGTCCTTTAGGCAACCCAATGGGCAATGTTAAAGTGACAGCGATCATAAATGAGCTGTCATGTTTCTTTATTTAAAGAATCACCACACGGTCAGAAACAGACAATTATTAAGGGAAAAATAAATATATATGTAATACACTCACAAAACATCTATCCACATTAATCACTTGAAAATGTTTGATCCCAAGGAACATTATTTAATCTGGTGTGATATTCCTTTTCAATTAGAATTCAATAATGTTTCACTTAGCTGGTTAAAATTCTAAATCTCACAAATAATCCAATTTGGAAAAATACAAGGTATCAATTCTATCTTTCTATCGCTATACACTGAGCCCCTAAGGCTCAATCCTGGTAGCCTTTATTATTTTTTATTGTTTATTAATGATCTCCCTAATGTATTCTCCTCATCTATATGCAGATGATACTGTTATCCTCTCTTGATAAATTGTTGCCTCTGCTAAATGAGAAA